TTTTTTTTTTTTAATCTTAGTTCATCCCTTCTTTTAAATGGGAAACAAATTCATGTGGCCTACTGGAAAGAATCTGACAAATTGTTGTTAATTGGTCTTCCTGCTAAAGAGTAAGTTTAGATTTTTGTTTACATTAAATTTACTTCTAAAATTCTATTAACAAAGTTTGCTTCTTTAGCATTATAACATTTTCATCAAAGGTAAACCCCTTAAGCAGCATTAGGATTTAAATATCTGTTGTACTAGTCAACTAACTACCTGTGTTTACTTGGTATTAGTAGCATAGAAAAATGCTTTGAAGGCCTAGCTGGGCGCAGTATTGTCAGTACCCTTTTTTCTGAGATTTGGCCAGAGCAGAGATAGTCAAGAGATGAACCTGTCCTCTGCTCAAACTTTTGGCAACATCATCGTTTTGATTTTGCATGTTGGAGAATTTGGGATAATTAAGGTTATGGTGTGCACCTTTGAGAAAATAATGAATATTTAATTCTGAAGTGACATCTTCCCTCGTCACATATTTGTAAATTTTGTCAAATGTATCTTATTAGTTTGAGATGAGAGCAGGATTGATATTTATAAAGAGCTGACCATTAACCCGCTGACTTTGTTAAGGTACTTTACAATCATTAATCTCATGTGTAATCGTCAAAACCAGCCTGAGATCCGCTTAATTACTGGTCACATGTTATAGATAAGGAAAGTAAAATGAAGAAAGATTTCAGTAACGTGCCATAGGTCACATAGTAACAAGAGACAGAGTTGGAAATTGAATATGAATTGTTGCTAATGTTTACCTAACGTGGTTGTTGTTGTTGTTATGTGCCGAGGAGTCAGTTCCAACTGATAGCGACCCTGTACAGGGTTCCCGAGGCTGTAAATCTTTACGGGAGCAGAAAGCCTCACCTTTCTCCCATGGAACAGCTGGTAGTTTCGAACTTCTGACCTTGTGGTTTGCAGCCCGATTCGTAACCACTACGCTACCAAAGCTCCTTGTAAGCCATTAAAAACTCTTAAGGTTGTGGGGTGGGGAGTATTATATATGGAGAAAAGCCCCAGGATTTAACTCATTGTAGACTAGTTTTCTGTTCCTGTTCAATGATTTTAAAAGTTATAATTTAGACTCTTGCCTACTTTACAAAGTAATCAAGAAACTTTTCTTAAATTATTAGACACTTTAGTTTTCCCTTAAGGAGCCATGGTGGCACAATGGTTGAACCACATGACTGCTTAACAGAAGATTAACACTTCAACTCACCAGCTGCTTTGTGAGAGAAAAGACCTATTTCTGTAAAGATCACAGCCTAGGAAACTGTTTGGAGCAGTTCTACTGTGTCCTCTAGAGTCGCTATAAGTCACAAGCAACGCGACAGCACACAACAACAGCAGTTTTCCCTTTTGTTAATATTTGGCCCATAGAACTAGTACATTGTTTACCAAATAATAATATTTAAAATCTCAAAACAAATACTTTAAAGAACTTTATGACACCAAAGAGAATGGTGGACAGAAATCCATTGTTTAGCCAAATCTCAATCTGAATACAAATACAACTGACTGTTTTCTGTTACAATTGAATTCGTTAACCCCATTTCACTCACTGTATAATAGATTATTATCGATTGTTGTTGGTAAGTATTGCCCAGTCAGTTATGACTCATAGAGAACTCTATAGGTTTTCCAAG